TGTCCAAGTGCCTTAGACCCCCTAGAGCGTGATTTTCCTCTGCAGCTCGGTGGTTGCCGTGAGCCCCCATGGACTCAACAGGAAGTATCAACAGACAAATGTCACCCTGTTGTAGTCGTCACACACTCTTCTCTACAGACACATAATAGCAAACCAAGATGGTGATTTCTCAGTTCTAAGTCACCTTTTCACTGTGTGTTTTTTTAAAAATTGTTTTATTTTTTTTTTTCATAGGATGTGTTAGGCCAGGTTGACTGGAGAAATGAATCCAGAGACTCTCATATATGTATGAGAGAGCTTTATATCAAGAAACTTATATATCAGGAAAACATCCCAACCCAGTCCAACTCAAGTCCATACGTCTGCATAAGGCCCTCTTCAGACTCACACAGCCACATGCAAGGATGCAGATGCAGGATGGTCACAGGCTGGTGGGTGCAAAGTCCTGTGGATCCCATGGCGATGGATGCAATTTCCTGGGCTCTGGCCGGTCCCAGCATGGATCGCCAGCAGGAAGGTGAAGGCAGAGAGAGTGGGGGTTGGGCGGGGAGGTGGTTTCCCAGGACTCTCTTTGTGAGAAGGTGAAGACCACAAGGAGGCACCGCCAGGCTGTGACCTGATTGGCAGGCTGGACTCGACCCCTACACTTTTATATCTTCAAGATTACATGAAATAATGTAACTGCCACAGACCAACTATTGTCAAATTGACACTTATACAACTCTTTCACCATACATAATTTTAAAAACAAAGACAACAGTAGAATCATATTTGTACCTAACAGGGCAAAACTAAAATGCATACAACTCAAAATGTGCCAGCCTTGTTAAAACATAATGTTCAATAAGTGAACAAAAAATATTCTATTCCTAACAATTAGAGTTATATGAACACCTGCACCATAATCCTATGAAGGTATTCCCACCCATGACAGTTTGTAAGCCAGCCACTTCATGCCTTTATGACCCCAATTTTGAGTATACAATTTCTACACTGCCCATTTATATCAGCCCAGTGCTTTGAGGAGACAAGCATGTTCTTTGATAAGGAGAATCTTCATTCCAATTGGAACCTTGTGAGTCAGCATCAATAAGCAAAGTCAAATCAGCCCAGGACATCCATAAATTCAGCAGCAATACGCACTAATTCACAGGCTCAAAAACCTTATCTTCATCAGGTCGGTTTTGGTCAGCTTAATGTGGGTCACCTCACTTAGGCTAACCAGGGTGCCCACTGGCCACCTCGCCTTTTGACCATGGGTCCTTTCACAGATTCTCAACAACCCTAAGACCCTTGGGCTAGGTCATGCCATCGGCTCAGGTTCCTCACAGCTCTTTAAACTTCAGACCAGCCAACCTGTTTTGTCTCCTCCTCCAGTCCCTGCAAACCAGGTCCCCGGGTGTCAGTGGTCAGACTGGACCGTCTCTCTATTGCTGCTTTTCTCCCACTTCCACTGAACAAGTGGATCAAGGTGGTCACCTAGCGAGCCACAGGCTGCCTGCAGGCTTCTTTGAACACTCAGCCCAAGGGAGAAGAGTTTCTTCAGGGCTCCAAATTTCTCCAGTTTCAGATGAGGCAGACTAGCAAAAGAATCTCCATTTTCTAGCTGCTGAATGAGCGGCCTCCTTATCCCTCCCATCTCAAAAAGTCCCACTAGTGATTGACTTTAGAATGTACTCTCACATACCCAGGTTCTGGACACTACAATTAGTTTAGACTATTCTTCAATATATCATTTGTTTTAATATTGTTTCTGTTGATGTTGTAATCAGACTGGTGTAGTTGATCTTGTTATGGTAACCAGGATGTTATAGTCAATTTTGGTATTGTTTCTTTCATGATAAGGAATGTACCTTGAAATGCATGTTGCTCTTCTTGAAGCTACCAGAATGTTATAATCCATGCTGTACTCCCAACGCTCCCTAACCCTAAAGAATAATAATCTTAATTTTGCTTTCTGCTTCTGTCCACGCTTGCCTAAGTCTTAGACAAAGGATAAATGAGTTTTTCACATTTAAAGATGAACTGAAAGGTGGACTCGAGACTGCAATCAAAGAATCACTTTTAGATTCTAGCTGTCCGGGTATACCTGAATAAAGACTCTTCTAAATTATCAATACATTCTAGTGACTGTCATTTATTCAAATTTGCAACAGAAGCATAAACCACTAGTTCAAAATTCAAAAAGAGCAAATTCCTTTTTTAGGTTTCGGTCTGCCAACAGCTCTCTCAGCAAGTCTTTCTGAATCAAATGTTCTGATCACTTAAGGCCCTGGGTTGGGTTGATCTTCTCAGAGCTTTCTTGGCAGGCATATCCTCTACCCATTTTAAGATCCAATTGAATGGCTGAAGGCAGTTGACTCACAAACTCCCTATTTTCATACTTTCCAATAGTCAGTTCTAACACATATTATATCAATAACAGTAAGTAGAAGAAATCAGTATAAAGCCAGTACACCCTGATCCTGAACTCAAATCTTCAAACCCTCACGTCCAATCCTCTCTTAGCTAAACGATCTCATTCAGATGCAATACGGCCATAGGCCTCTGGCTGCATCAAGTCAGGGAGGGGCTTCCTGTCCACCATTTGACTTTCTATCAGCCATTTTGACTAACAGCATGGTCTCCAAGGAGAAATTCAAGGATCCATTTTGCTCAAAATTTACATGAATCACATCAATTTTCACCATTTCAGAAAGGAATAACCAGAGACTACAAAGAAAGAAAAGAATCAAAACTCTAACTTCCCACATTCTTTCCAGAAAACAACTGAGTAAACAGTGTGGGCCTATCTGACCTCTAGCTAGCCAAAGACGAAGAAAACCTACCATAAGGTAGAAGTCAGATAAGCATCCACTCTCCATTTTCATGATTTATTTCTCTAGTACCCCACTCCCAAGGTACCATTATATGTTAGGCCAGGTTGGGTAGAGAAACAAATCCAGAGACACTCATAGATGTATAAGAGAGAGCTTTATATCAAGAAGCTTTACCTATTGGGAAAACATTTCAGCCCAGTCCAACTCATGTCCATAAGTCTAATATTTATCCATAAGTCCCCCTTCAGATTCACACAGCCACATACAAGGATGCAGGATACAGGGAGGTCACAGGCTGGTGGATGCAAATTCCTGTGGATCCAATGGTGGTGGATGCATCTCCAGGGCTCTGGCAGGTCCCAGCATGGCTCACCATCAGGAAAGTGAAGGCAGAGACACATGGGGAGGTTCCCAAGGCCCTCCTTATAACAACTTCGAAACTACTAGAGACACTCTCAGGCTGTGACCTGATTGACAGGCTAGACTCCACCCCTTCACTTTTATATCTTCAAATAGACATGGAAGTATGTAACTACCACATAGGACAATTGGGTGCTTTTCATTTCATCCAATGGAAATTTCTAATGGCTTTTTAATTTACCAAAAGAACCACAGGTATAGTATTTATTTTGCAAATCCCCAAGATGTTTGAAAGTGATCAGTGTAAATCAGGTAAGTATACAAAAATTAGTACTTTTTGTCAAGACTTTTGCTCCTCAGTTCCCACCCACTGCCAATCCATTCCATTCATCGCATCATCAAATGGATAATTAGAATATTTGTGAATACATTGTCTGTAGGGCTATGCACTGAGCTGCTAACCCAGGAGTTCAAACCCAGGAGACTCTGTGAGGGAAAAATGAGATTGTCTACTCTATTAATGATTTACAGTCTAGCAGGGGCAGCTTTATTTCATTATGATTGAAAATGTGCACAGACAACCAAGCACCTTGTCAACTGTTTCTACATGTAACATTGAGTGAAGTGGATTACAGCCATTCTCACCCTCCTTTTCTGAGTCATCCCCCACCCCCACCCCTCCATTAACCTAAACTCACTGCCTGCTAACATGACTATGTGTAATAAGACGATAGGACATGAGAGTGTCGTCAGTTAGCCTCTAACTTCATCAGTGGAGAGGAAAGTCAAATTCCATATCAACATCACTCAGGCTGAATCCCCAGACTGAAGTCAGCCATGTCCCACCCTCCAATATTCTAACCAGTCTTCACACCAACTCACCCCCCAACTGCTCTTTCTTGCTCAGTGGGGTTTGTTCAATCATGGCCATGGCCACACAGAACTCGCAGTTAGTGCTCACCTGTTTAAGGTGAATTGAGGAAGGTAAGGGGTTACAATTGCTCAGGACAGTCTCTTCTTAACGGGGCAGCAGACAGGTATCTCTTGGATTCCCGTCACAGGCCTCTTTGGCTTCTGCCCTGTGTGTGCAATGCTACAAAGCTCTGTTTAGAGCTGCCAATAGTTGTCCATAGGCCAACCCATCTTTCCATAGGTGTCATCTCAAAGGTGCTCATCTAGCTCCTAGGGTTAGCACCAGGGTCTCACCATTAAGTGCCTGGAGACATCCTACTTCACAAGCCTACCTCCCACCCGAAAGTACTCAGCTTGACTTGCTTTGTGGGCTGGGAAGGCCATCACTCTGTCTCATGCTCTGGTTCTTGGTTCTGGTTCTGAGGCTACTGCTCTTCTGCCATTGTGCTAATGTTGTGGCCTCAAAACTGTCTCCTGAATCAAGGCGGTCCAATGCACAGCAATCTTGGGGTGCAAAGGACAAGCTCTCCTCCTGGTTCTTCCCTCTTGCAGGACTTGTCTAAGCATGCTCACCTTGATGAAGCAGCAAAAAGAACTAGACTAGTGTATGAACTGATACCAAGACTCAAAAGTAATTAGCGCTCCTTTTGTGGACTTCTGTCTTTCAAAATCCAAGTACATTAGAGTTGAAACTCTAAAATCATTGCTCTGTTTTTTCATTGATCTTCTGAGTCACCGCCTCCCCTCCCCTGCAGTTACACACAGGTAGCAGAGTTCTCTGCTACTTAATACTTACATAACTAAATCCACCCTCCAATATATACTGTGATCTCTCCAGGCTGGAAATGATTCTGTTGCAATTTCTCTAACCTTTGGACCTTGATCCTGCTTTATTAAAACCGTTCCTTTCTCAATACTATGCAGCCTGGTCAACAACTTGAAGGTTTGATTATTGGAATCATCAGTCCACGCTTGACAGCAACCTCTTGGGATGGCGTCAGATTATTTGTGGTTTGAAGGCATCCCTTTCCCCTCAGTTGGATTTCGAATTGAAGATCTGAAATCTGTCAAAAATGAATTTGTAGTGAGAGATGAAGATTTCATTACACTTTCCTACCCAAAGTCAGGTAAGAAGACAGGATCTGAACTTATGTTATTAACTGAGTAACTTTTCTGTGCCTCACACTTCTCTTTGTTCTGGGGACTACAATGGTGTCTTGTTGGATTTTACCTGGCTACGTTGGGCTATTTCTGTGGACTAGTGCCTATATCCTTAATGTTTTCTCATCCTGGCTTATTGCAACCTGTTAATTTTCCTAAGGAGCCTCACTAAGCTGTAAGTATTGTCTTTGACTTGTGTGCAGCCATTGCAAGGAATTATCAAACTGAGCAGAGAAACAGAGTGTTGTAGAAGGAAGGGTGCATGTTAGAATATATTGAGTGGAGCATAGAAGCCGGAGGCATGCGTGACCCCTGTCTTGTGGCACTCAGCCTTCAGCTAGTGAGGAATTGAACTCCCTTCTCCCGTGTGTACTTAGCCAGAGAAGGTCATACATGGCCCCTCACTGTGTTCTCACATACCAAGAACATCCCAAGCTTTCCTGGTCACTCGGGTTGGGATAGACAGGTCGGGAAGGGTAAACAATAGGCTGGAGGGTAGACTGGTTAACCGGGTGAAGGGGAAGACAATGTTTGACACGATGGAGAAGAAGACAAAGATCGGGAGCAACAGAGAAAGCTCTTCCGAGGTTTGATAGGGTTAACATGGTTGAATACAAAAACGGTGATCCGTGTGCACCATGAAAACGCAAACTAAACCAACACATTTTATCTACTTCAAGCTAAGAAGGAGTAGTTAGGATTACAGGTTCCTTCTACCAGAAAACACCGTAAAACTGAGCAATGTGAACCAAGCAACAACTTGTAGGAAGCACGCTACATGAGGTCTTGCGAGGCGAAGGTTCATGACTGAAAGCAACCAGAAGAACTCTTCTAGCTGCAGTTCCTTGCTGACTCTGTCTCTGCGTATGACTTCGATGGGTCAGGAGACAGTCATTGACGATGGTAGCATTCCTGTGAATGATGGGATTTGAGTTTTTGTGGGTATTTTCTGCCTTAATTATTCCCTCTTTGCATTATGTCATGTAACGCGAGAGAGCTATGGTGGGTTTATGGGGAATGACGAATGGTTAAATGATCAGATATTGAAATTTGGATGGAGAGAGGGAAAATTTTGAGCAGCAGAAACTCGCGTTGTAGGAAATCAAAATAATTTTCTATTCACAGAAATGAAAATAACAGTGTATGTCAAAATTAAAGAATGACTTGAATGGAGAAATCATCTTGCGATGAGAATCGAAATGCAATGGGGTTCCCAGTCATGGGTATTGTGGGTGAATTAGCAAGTGTTGTAAGATAGGGTTGGGAAAAAAAAAAGGTAGGGCTGCATTACCAAGAGTCAGGTGAAAGAAGTGATCCGCTTTTGACTCTCTCCATTTCAGGCACCCATTGGTTGCTGGAGATCATCAGTCTTATCTACTCCAAGGGAGATCCCAACTGGGTTCAATCTGTTCCCATGTGGGATCGTTCTCCATGGATAGAAACTGAAGAGGCTCATGAACAGTTACAAAAAAAGGAAGGTCCACGCATCTACACCAGCCACCTGCCCATTCAATTATTTCCCAAATCGTTCTTTGATTCCAAGGCCAAGGTAAGTTAATAATGACATCGTAGTTGAATGTCTCGGTTGGATGCTGTGTCTTAGAGGCAGAGCTAGCACGTGATTCATGAAGGAGCCTAACAGACGCTCTTGATTAATGCATCATTGTCATATCCTAGTTAATCTCCTTGGTGTAGCTTTCAGAGAATAATCAGACTACAATAGTCAAATACATGTCTGCCTCACTCAGTCTGAAACACCGTAGACCTGGTTCCTCCTGTTAATTTCCTCAATTGTAAATCAACTCTTAAAATTCCAAGGAATTTTGAGTTGTGAGCTCATGATAGAAACCCAATTTTATTTCTCCAAGCAATGTATCGTCCATGGATACCACGTCTTATCCTGTCAAGGATTCCACCTTGGCTCTGATGGATAACTGCAAGCTCTAACATAGAGGGCCACCAGGGTTTTAATGTGAATTTGTACTCTTAGATTATATTTTTCAATCAAATGACACCAACAACATTATTTACATTGCACAAAAAAATCCCTCAACCCATCATATCTGATAGTAGAAGCATTATCAGAATATCCTAGGATTGTTGTTTACTGTTAAATACTGTCAAGTCATTTCCAGCTTGTCCAATCTTATGTACAACAGAATGAAACACTGCCCGATTTAATGGTTACTATCTTTTATGAGCATGAATGCAAATATGGTATTAAGGAAGTCTCAAATATCCACCTTTTCAAAACTGCTGTCACACTCTCTCATCTCCTCTTCCCCACAGTATTCTCCCTCCCAAGTTTATGTTCCACAATTCATTGTAACTTTTAACAGAGCTCACCAATCTTCAAGGAAATGGCTCATGTAGCAGTGAAAGGTGGCAAGTCCCCTATCTGTTAGTCTGACACCAGGCTGCGGGATTCTTCTATTTCACATGGTTACAGGGACTGACAAACCCAAATAGGCAGGTCCGACCACGTGCTACTGGCTCCATTTCCAAGAACTGTGGGGTGAGATGGTAATCAGCTAGATGTGGGATCCAGAGCAAGAGAGAGAACTGTGCCAGAACATCAATATATTAGTCAAGCACAATGACACGTGTCTTAACATTCTTCACCCCCTTACATGAAGACCATGCCCTCACAGGAGCTTCCCTTACTTGAACAAGCAAGGCAAGGGTTGGAGGTGTGACCACTGGGGTGAGGGTGATGACCTGAGGCACCCTGCAGAGTAAGGGCAGTGACTCAAGCCTCAGCACATCCTTGCTCTGCCTCATTCACATCATGGACAGTCACTCCCAAATGGGACCATAGCCACAGCGCTTTGTTGTTAGGTATCAAGGAGATTCGGACTCACAGCAAACCGATGGTCCACAAAGCAACATCCAGCCCCGTCCTGTGCCATCCTCACATTTGTCATGTGTGAGTTTATTAGGCAGTCTTGGATAGTGAAGACACAAAATGGAGAACATCCATCAACTATTTTCGAAATTTAAATTTTGTGATTTGGGTGAAAGTTTTCAGATCTTGTTAATTTTTCATTCGGTGAATTTTACACATTTTATTGCCAGATATGAATAGTATTCCCTACGATGGAACAACGTTCTTTACACATCTCTCATTTCCGTTTTCCCTGCTCTGCTATTTATTCCTGCCTTCTGAGTTTTATATCTAGACACCTGGGCTGATGTGATTGATCATTCTAAGGAGTGTGCACTTTCTTGTGTTATTATTCATCCTTGTGTTAGGCTGGGTTTTCTGAGAAACAACACCAGTGACACTCCATATGTATAATAAAGAAATCTACAACAATAAACAACTGTAGATTAAGGACATGGCCCATGACATCACGATTAGTAAGGTAGAAGGGCAGTAAAAAAGAGAAACGTCCTGGACAAGACGGACTGACATAGAGGTTGCAGCAATGAGCTCAGACATGGCACCAATGATGATATTGGAAGAGGACCACCAGGCAGTGTCTCATCCTGTTGGACACGGATGACTGTGAGTTGGGAACCAACCAGATGGCCCCCACAACTACAACAATAAGACAATGTGAAAAGTAGGATGTAAACTTCCCTGACAAATCCTTAGAGAACATCCCTTTGCCATGTACCCTAGTAGCCATGAAACCAGAAATGATCTTTGTCTTCCTAATCACTCTACCATAAACAGTGTTTCAGAAGATGTCATGTTACAGGCCCTCAAAATTTGAATGAGTCCTCAGGAGCCACCTTGCAATTGTGTGTGTGTGGGGGAAAGACAGACGAGGGAGGGTGCAGGGACTCCATGTTCCTATGTCATGAACAACAGAGAGATTGTATTTTCTGATGGTGATATATACTGGGCTTACAGTTCTTTGGAAAGGCATGCATGTCATACAGCAAGGATGTTATATCAATGGGTAATCTTCTTCACCCAGCGCTTGATGACCTCGGACGCCCCTGAGCCTCCCCAGGACAGCAATCAGTGATCCTTGCCAGCAAGAGCCACCAGAAGGGGGTTTGTTACACTTTGTGGTGGGTCAGGCTATAGAACCTGATTGCTCTTACCTACAGATAAACTTTTGGCAGAGTGACTAGCCAGAGGTAGGAATGAGACATCATTTATTGTAGCTCCTCTATGACTTCTCCTAATTGGACAGCTGTTGGGCAAGGGCATTTTGGGCCTGGAGAACATGTATTTGAAGGCATTTCTCTCTCAGAACCATGGAGATCTTTCTCCCAAAAGGGCTAATTTTCTAGACCCGTGGTTCTGAGGGTAGAAATAAGGCCAAATACAGTCTACGAAGTCCCCAGTTCACCACAATTCCCTCCTCTGATTTAAGTTTTCAATTCGAAAGGGCCACAAAGTAGTGTAACATTCTTCCAGGTGCTGAAGCGCTCTGCAGACATAGCAAGCGGTTACAAAAACCAAAGTGGTGACAATGGGCCAAGGACTTCATGCAGAGCCTTGGCCACCCAACAGACCGTGAACCTAGGCCCGGGGATCCAAATCTCCCACAGAAGGTTTAATTGACTCTGTGCCAAGGGATGCTTTAAACCCTATCCTTAAAAGGATTGACAACCTTCCTTTTTAGCTATTTAGGACGTAATGAGATTTTCCCCTTAAACCCCCACAGAGGGTCCCCAGTCAGGGACCAGTCATGTAAGGTTTCCTTCTATGGATAAGGGGTTACACAAAAATCAGTAATTTCCCAGTCACATTTCAGCATCATTTGTGCTGCAAGTCCATGATTTGAAAACAAGGTTGTAGCTCAGACACTTTCTCTTCCAGTTCATGGTCCACATGGGTTTGAGTGCCCTAGAGTCGATGCGCGTCTGCATAAGATGTTGTGTTGATAGAGCCCTGGAGTGTCTGTGTGGGGCCAGTAGCAGCGGCAGAAGTTGCTGTAAGTCTCAGAAAGACAACAAGTGCCATTCTTACTTGTCAGCGGCATGGATTTGATGCTTGGGATGACGTCTGTGGAAGGAGGCGAGGTGGCTTTGAGATTTCTGATAACGTCTGCGAAAGGAAGAAGCCCCTGGGACCAGGGGAACCTCTTCTTGGCTCGGTAGATCTACTGTTGCATTCTCCCTGCTGGTGGGACCGCGTTTGGAGGCTGATTAAAAAGACTGTGCATTGGACTGGATTGGAACTGCCCTCTTTGAGTTCCACTGGGTGGGGCTCAGAGCAAGGCCCGGTCTCTGTTTCCCACTGGGCGGTGTTCACTGAGGGAGCCACTTTGCTGCTGGTCTTAGAAGCACTGCCTTCCTTGGCGGCTCGGCCAGAGTCCACGTTCTCCTCCACTGGGCGGGCCATTCCCAGTCGTTCACTGTGGAAACGTCTGACTTCCCTGCAGTTAAGAACTTTTCTCTTTGGTTCAGTTTCTAAATTTTCCTTTTTCGATTGTTTCTCTCTCTACTCTTGAAAGCAAAGGTGCCTTTGGCTCTGTTCCACAGGCTGATCCTTAACTAAGGATACTCCTCTTCTAAAGCCTTATGGCCTCTGTGTTCCCCGGTGCTGCACTCACCCGGGACATGGAGGCTTTGGCCATAAGGTTTTGTTTGGGGTCGGAACCTGCTCTTCTGGTTTCGCCTAACAGGTCACCATACTCATTCAAAAAGACTTTCCTCTGCTTTTGTAAAGGGGCAGCTTATACAAGACTTTGCTTCATGCTCATCATCCACTTTATTTATCTCTTCCTCTGACTGCAGAGGTTCTAAGACTTTTAACTCGATCCCACGTCTTAGTGGGAATAGTCTCCCCTCCTTAAAATTTTTAGCAACCTTTTCGCAGCTCCATGGATCTAAGGTTCCTTCCATAGGGAACCAAGCATTGTATTTTTTTAATTGCTTGTAGGAAAAATTCATTTTTCTATTCATTCTTGGTATGTCCTGTCGTGTCAACACATAGGTGCACACAATACAATAAGTTGTAGATTTAGACTTACCTTTACCTTGTCCCATAACACTGTTATATACTAGAAGCCGCCTACAGAATTCTCACTTCAAAATAATTTCTGATTCTCACCTGCCCTCAGTGGAGTGGTGAAGCCATTGTGCTGGGAGTCTGTTCTGCTCATCATGAAGTCTTTCTTGGGGGCCCTTGTTGCACACCATTTATGGTCCCATGTTGGGCACCAGTTTTGGAGGCACAGGTCCCCAACACTTGAAAGGGTCCTTGGGAGTGACTTGGGGGTGTGGAAAATTAAACAGACAAGACAGCGGGACACAGGGCCTCCTTGTACCTATCTTAGGACCAAGAGAGTGAATATATTTTCCAATGTGTATCTATCATGTGGCTTACAGGTCTTTCAAAAGGCATACATGTATACTGTGAGAACATATTACACAGTCAATGGGTAATGTCATAAGTGGGTAGCATAATTATCAGGCAATGAAAGGAATCCTCTTCTTCATCTCCTGCTAGTTGACCTTGAATGCCCCTGAGCCCTCTCCAGGGCAGCAGTCGATCATCCATACCAGCAAGAGAAGTCAGAAGAGGGTTGTGACCTCTTATGGTGGGTCGGGCTATAGAACCGGATTACTTGTATCTACAAATAACCTTCAGGCATAAAGACTAACAAGATATGGGAATGAGACTTCTTTTATTACCACCTTTTTTGGGGTGTCGATTATTTATTTATTTAATCATTTTTACGACATCTCTTTAATAGAGGACTTAATAGGGGGCACATTTTCAGACTGGAGAATGTGTATTTGAAGGTATTTTTTTCTCTGAACAGTGAAGATTGTTCACCAAATACAGCCACTTTCCTAGGCCCATGGCTGGGAGTGCAGAAATAAGACCAAATTCACTCCACTAAGTCTTCAGGTTACCACATGACAATGTCCTACATTTGGGGTTTCTGAAAACAATTAGTGGAATAAAATCATATGGCAGCCAAACATTTTGACGAAAAATGATGTATCCTCCATTTGACAAAATCCAGAAGCAAGGGAAAATAATGCATTTTCACTTATTGTTTTGTTTTCTTGTTCAATTTCAGATGATTTACCTACTCAGAAATCCCAGAGATGTTCTTACTTCTAACTTTTACTTTTTTAGACTACTAAGTGGAGTAAAACATCCACAGACATTTGACCAATGTTTTGAATGGTTTCTTCAGGGAAATGGTGAGTTTGACTCGAGTATGGAATCTG